TTTGTTAGAGCTCTTTGTCAGTCTGATCTGGACCACACAGGGCAAGGACTCTTTTAAAAAAAAACCAGACAACTTTTTTTTTTTTGTATTTTATTGATTTCACAGAGGAAGGGAGAGGAAGAGAGAAACATTAGTGGTGAGAATCATTGCTCAGCTGCCTCCTGCATGCTCCCTACTGGGGACTGAGCCTGCAACCTGGGCATGTGTCCTGACTGGGAATTGAACTGTGACCTCCTGGTTCATAGGTTGACATTCAACCACTGAGCCACACCAGCCGGGCCAGAGTCAGAACTCTTAAAGCCACTAGGTCTCACTGCTGCCCACTCCTACCCCTAGCTTCTTTCTTTTCTCGACCACCACCAGACTCCTTCAGGCCAGTCTGCATGTTGGAATCTGACTGCCCACACCGGGACTTGCTTCTCTCTGTGGTTCTAGCCAGACCAAGAGGCATTCTCAGGCTCTTAGAGACCACTGTGCAGATAACAGCTGCTTCCCCAGGGCCACATGGACTGAGGTGGAGGAGAAGCAGTACCAGAAAAGTCGGGTTGGGCAACATAACAGGTTCTCAGCCAGGGCAGCTATGTCACTGGGAGACAGTGGGCAGTGTCTGGAGACATTTTTGGTTGTCACAACTGGGTGGGAAGGGGTGCTGCTGGCATCTAGTGTGTAGAGGCCAGGGATGCTGCTAAATATCCTCCAAGGCACCAGATTTCCTGAAATAAAAGCAGACCTGAAGCTCCCACCACAAAGAATCATCCAGCCCCACATGTCAACAGTGCCCACATCGAGACCCTTGACGCCCCAGAGCGAGCAGCCTGGCAAGTCTCTGGCAGCACCCTCGCCTCCCTGGGTTGCAGCAGTGTGCCTCTGTGCTGATTAAGTAACTATTCTGAGGCGTGCAAAACACATGCAGTACAGACCTGGGAGGAAGAGAACAGCGACGCCTTAACCTGGATAGGTTGGCAACTCCCTGGCTAGTTTTCTCCCAGGGTCACAAACCCGTGCTCAAACCCTGGTCAACTTTGGTCTCAGGCTAACTGTCAGACACAGTCATTTCAGACATCTTTCTTTTACATTTTTCCTACTTCCCTGGAAACTTAACCATCACATGCTATACACACATGCTGCTCTTTTCTCCCCTATTTGCCGGATCACTTGTGTCCCTGTGTCTAGGTAATAAGCTTTTCGAGGCGTGGGGCCCAGTTGATGACTTGTTTTTCTGGTGACTGCTCTGCATACAGGAAGTGCCAGCTGTTAGATGGGTTGGCACATTTCTACCAGATCTGATCCATGGTTGTCAGATGCTGGGCTGGTGCAGCAGTCAGTTTAATAAATCTGAATGCTTATTAAAAATACCCATTCCATGCCCGGCTGGTGTGGTTCAGGGGTTGACGGTTGACCTATGAAGCAGGAGGTTACGGTTTGATTCCTGGTCAGGCACATGCCCGGGCTGCTTAATCCCCACTGGGGGGCATGCAGGAAGCAGCCAATCAATGATTCTCTCTCATCATTGATGTTTCTGTCTCTTTCTGAAATCAATAAGAATACACTAAAAAAAACCCCCAACCGATTCCTGGGCATCCACCCCAGAGAGCCAGATTGAGAAAACGAAGTGGACTCTTGGAATTTGGTGTTTTCTGTGAGCATCCCAGGTGAACGTGGGAATCAGAGGTTAGTTCCCTGGAGTGGATTACTGTGACCTTAGCAGTTAAGTCGTTCTGGGAACAAGCCAAGAGCAAGGGCAATTATCAGAAACGCCCAGGTAGACAGTTTGAGGTTTTTCTTTCTGCTGGGATGTATAGGGGTCCCTGACAGTCACTGATTCAGTTTGGACTTTTTCTTTTAAAGCTATTATGCCGGCTGGGCCGATAAGTACCATGGGAAAACCATTCCCATCGATGGGGACTTCTTCAGTTACACCCGCCACGAGCCTGTGGGTGTGTGCGGGCAGATCATCCCGGTGAGTGTTAGCCTTATAATAAACCGGTGAAGTTTATCGGGAGCGCCTTGAGGTGTAGCAGTCTCCAGCAGGCTCGGGTGCAAATGTGGGCTTTGACAAAGCCAGCTTGGGTTCAGGGCCCTGCCCTGCCACTCATGAACTTTGTGACCTCGGGTGAGTCACTGTCCCCCTAAGCTTGAGTTTCCTTATCTGCAAAGTGGGAGGGAACACAGACCTGTCTTAGGGTGGAAGGGCAGGGAGGACTGAACCTAAGTTTAGCTTCGTACGAAGCAGCACTCGGGAAAATGAGTCCCTATTTCACACTGCCTCAGAATCTGTCTTAAAACTACGATTGAGTTGTGGGAGGGGGACAGAAGGGGTTCAGGGAGTCATGTTCTGTGGCCTGGGTTCGGGAGTGACTATTGTTTACTGCAGTGGAACTTCCCGCTCCTGATGCAAGCGTGGAAACTGGGCCCTGCCTTGGCGACTGGAAACGTGGTTGTGATGAAGGTGGCTGAGCAGACGCCACTCACCGCCCTCTACGTGGCCAACTTGATAAAGGAGGTGTGTGGCTGTCCATCTGGACCTCTGGGTGCTCTTCTACAAGCTTTCTCTACAGGAGTTCTGAGGAGGGTCCTGAGTTCAAAGTGAGGGGTGTTTGCAGAGCAGGGGCTAAGCACCCTGTCACCACACTTCAGCCAAAGAGGCCCCATCTTCCCTGTTTTCTACCTTGGGCTTCATTGTAAGACCCCTTTGAATAATGAAATTGTTCCAAGTGAATACCATGGGGGGAGCGACAACAGCCACAGGGAACCCCGAGACACGTGCTTCTTGCTGTGCTGTTAGCATCCCGAGCGGTTCCCCATAAGACTACTTCTGCTCACCTGTGTCCGGGTCCCGCTGCCGTGGCGTCTCTGGGAAGGGATGTGTGCTCCTCTGTCCAGGCCTTTGGAGTGGGAGAATGATGCCCAGTGTCTCCTGGTTGTTTGCACACAGGCTGGCTTCCCTCCTGGCGTGGTTAATATTATTCCTGGATTTGGTCCCACGGCCGGGGCTGCCATTGCCTCCCACAAGGATGTGGACAAAGTGGCCTTCACAGGCTCCACCGAGGTAAGGCATCCCCAGGACCTCAAGCTTGCTGGGTGTTGGGTTCAAGTTCTCACTATCCCAAAAGGATGATGCATTCAAGATACATGTGTTCATTCAACAAGTAGGTACAGTGGTGGCTCTGTGCCAAGCTGAGAATGTAGAGGTGAGGAGCACCCCGTCCTTGCCCAGTGTGCCGTGTGCAGGGGACCACACTGCACACATCGTGGGAGGGAGGCAGGGTAGTGGGTTTGAGCTCTCTGAATTCTGACTCCACATTAACCAGCTGTGTGACCTTGAGTAAGATGCAGCCTGAGATGCAGCTCCCACACTTTTTTTAAAAATACATTTTTATTGACCTCAGAGAGGAGGGGAGAGGGAGAGAGAGATAGAAACATCAATGATGAGAGAGAATCACTGATCGGCTGCCTCCTGCACGCCCCACACTGGGGATCGAACCCGCACCCCTTCAGACCGCAGGCCGACGCTCTGTACACTGAGCCAAACTGGCTAGGGCAGCTCCCACACTTCTAAATCAAGGAACAGGGTCGCTCCTACCTCTGCGGCCATTGTGAGGATTGAACTCAGTGCACACAAAGCACTTAGCACAGTGCTTGGTATGTAGGTGGCGCTCGGTGTAAAAGCCACACAGCAATAACTGCTGTGTCATTACTATCACTGCCATCCTAAGAGCTCAGGGTGGGGCAGCGATGGTACGCAGGTGGCCAGATTTGGCGACATTCTCCAGGTCTTTTATAATCTAACTTCTCACCCGAGTTGTGGGGTCCTCTGTTGTGTGTCTGTGAGAGCATTTGGTTGTTTCTCCCGCACTGAGAGCTGGTCTCTCTTTCTGCTTCCCGGCAGGTTGGCCGCCTAATCCAGGTCGCTGCGGGGAACAGTAACCTCAAGCGGGTGACCCTGGAGCTGGGGGGGAAGAGCCCCAACATCATCATGTCCGATGCTGACAGTGAGTTTGCAGGGCGAGGAGGTTTGGCCACGAAGGGACACTAGCTGCCATGCTGTGTTCCCTCACCTGGCAGTCCTCGTTGTCCATCAGATCCTTTTCTGGGCCAGGGCCTCGGGATGAAGGCCAGGCTCCAGCCAGCACGACCCAGCCTCCCCCGCTTCTCTCCTCTCTGCTCCCTGTAATCCAGCCAGCTGAGCTGCTAGTGCCCAGCCGTGCCCACGCTTTCTCAGACCAGACCACTCTTCTTCCATGACATCCTTTCTCCTGGTCCTACTGAGGAGCTCCCAGACCTGCCCTTCTCGAGGGAGCCTTCCCTGCCCGCCATAGGCTGGCTGGGCTGGTCCCCCAGCTGCCCCTGGTTCCACTGTGATCATGTCTGTCTGCCACTTGGTCTCCACACACAGAAGGGGAGAGCTCTGGTCCCTCTTGTCCTGGCACATGGTCTGGCACCCAGCAGGCACCATGCTGTCGGTGGCATGAAAGGGTTGAGGAGGTAGGCAGCCACTGGGGCCAGGGTCCTTCTCTCCTAAGGGTCGTCTCTCTGCCTCCCCAGTGGACTGGGCCGTGGAGCAGGCCCACTTCGCCCTGTTCTTCAACCAGGGCCAGTGCTGCTGTGCGGGCTCCCGGACCTTTGTGCAGGAGGATGTTTATGCCGAGTTTGTGGAGCGGAGCGTTGCCCGGGCCAAGTCTCGGGTGGTTGGGGACCCCTTTGACAGCCAGACTGAGCAGGGGCCGCAGGTAAGCCGCAGCCACAGGTGGGTCTGGGTGTCTGGAACCAGCATGGAGAAGTAGAAAGGGCCTCGGACTCAGAGTCAGGCAGGAATGGCTTAAAGTCTAGGCAGTGATGGCGAACCTCTGACACGCGTGTCAGAGGTGACACGCGAACTCATTTTTTTGGTTGATTTTTCTTTGTTAAATGGCATTTAAATATATAAAATATCAAAAATATAAATTTTTTTTTTTACTATGGTAGCAAATATCAAAAAATTTCTATATGTGACACGGCACCAGAGTTAAGTTAGGGTTTTTCAAAATGCTGACACGCCGAGCTCAAAAGGTTCGCCATCACTGGTCTAGGCTTTGCCATGTACTAGCTGTGCGTCCGAGAAGCCACATGCCCTCTCTGAGCTGCCGTTCTCCCATCCTTAACACCTGCCCTTCATAATTCAAGGTGGCTGTGGAGTGGAAATTAATGACTGAAAGCACTTTGTAAATTACATATACATAGTAAGTACTAGCAGTGTCTGTGCAAAAGGAAATGCTTCCTAGACCTTGGCCACCTATGAAATGCATCTACCGGGACACACGGATCTGTTAACCATGGTTATTTCTGGAGAGTGGGGTCGTGGGTCATGACATGAGAGGGGAGGGTCTTTACTTCACTTTATACTCTTCTGAGCTGTTTGATTAATTTTTTTTAACCAGGAGGATGTGTTCATTTTAATCAATAAAACTCTAGTCAATGATAATTATAAGAAAAAGAAAACAGCACCTCTCTACCATTTCCTCTGCATCCTGGTCCTTTTTCCAGCGTTGTCCTTAGACCCAACTTGCCCTGGGCTCACTCTCTACAGGGCCCTGCGCTGGCCTCCTCCAGCCACCCTCCTAGGGACAAGGAGTCTGCAGGGTCTGGGACGCTCCCTGCTCCCGCGTGGCCCTGAGCCTACTTCCAGGGCCCATGGTGCCTCTCTGCAGGCTCCATCCTCCTGAGGGAGGTGTCTGTGCTGCAGGTGTACACTCCCCAGGCGCCAGGACGGCCAAGGAACCTTTCAAAAAAATTAACAGACTATAAAAATACAGAAAAATGAGCAGAAACTATAGAGTTCTCATATACCCCTTAACTCCCCGTTCACCCCCCTAGTTTCCCGTTACTAATATCTTGCATTAGTGTGGCACATTTGTTATAATTGATGAGCCCATATTATTGCGTTATTATTAACTAAAGTCTGTAGTGTACCTTAGGGTTCACCCTTGATGTTTCGCATTCTGTGGTTTTGACAAATTATAAAGATGTGTCCACCATCACACTATCATACAGGACAGTTTCACTAAAAATCCCCCGTGCCCCTGCTCATCCCTTTCTCCCGCCCCCTACCTCTGGCAACCACTGATCTTTTTACTTCTCTACAGTGTTGTCTCTTCCAAAGAATGTCATGCAGTTGGAATCATACAGTATATTTTCTGATGGGCTTTCCCCCCCAGATTGGCTCTTTTTACTTAGCCATGTGCATCTAAGGGTCCTCCCTGTCTTTTCCTGGCTTGATAGCTCATTCCTTTTCATGGCTGAATAATATTCCATTGACTGGATGTGTACCACGTTTTGTTTATCCACTCATCTACTGATGGACCCTTGGGTGGTTTCTATTTTTTGGCTATTTGAATAGGGCTGCTAATGAATCTCAACATCTCTTTTTCTCTCATTTTTTTGTGTGGTTTGTGGATATTTAATTATTTAGTATTTATTATGTATATGTAATTTATAAAGTGCTTTCCAAATTTGTATACAAATTTAATAAAACAAATAATAGGGGGTGGGAGCATGTGCTGGGGGGGCAGGAGCAGGCAGGGAGAGGTCAATGGGGGGAAAAGGAGACATATGTGAAACTTTCAACAATAAATAATTTAAAAAAAAAAGCCATGGTACATTTACACACACACACACACACACAATTTAATAAAGTATTTAAGTAACATGTAAGATCCCCCTCCCCCTTGTTCCCTTTCATGTCTATTCTCCATAGGTAACCACACTTACACAGTTAGGTTTCTATATGTTTTAACAAAAATAGGATTATGTAATATGTATTGTTCTACAAGCTTTCTCCCCTCTTTACAAAATACCTTAGGCCAGGGGTGGGCAAACTTTTTGACTCGAGGGCCACAATGGGTTCTTAAACTGGACCGGAGGGCCGGAACTAAAGCATGGATGGAGTGTTTGTGTGAACTAATATAAATTCAAAGTAAACATCATTACATAAAAGGGTACGGTCTTTTTTTTTTTTTTTTTTATTAAAGTATTACAAAGAGTATTACATATGTCTCCTTTTTTCCCCCCCCCCCGCCCTTGACAATCCCCTGGCCTCCCCTACCCCCCAGTGTCTTATGTCCATTGGTTATGCTTATATGCATGCATACAAGTCCTTTGGTTGATCTCTTACCCACCCCCCTCCTGGCCTCCCACCCTCCCCGGCCTTCCTGCTGTAGTTTGACAGTCTGTTCGAGGCAGCTCTGCCTCTGTATCTATTTTTGTTCATAAGTTTATAATGGTCTTTATTATCCAGAAATGAGTGACATCATGTGGTATTTTTCCTTCATTGACTGGCTTATTTCACTTAGCATAATGCTCTCCAGTTCCATCCATGACGTTGCAAATGGTAAGAGTTCTTTCCTTTTTAGAGCAGCATAGTATTCCATCGTGTAGATGTACCACAGTTTTCTAATCCATTCATCTACTGATGGGCACTTAGGCTGTTTCCATATCTTAGCTATGGTGAATTGTGCTGCTATGAACATAGGGGTGCATATATCCTTTCTGATTGGTGTTTCTGGTTTCCTGGGATATATTCCTAGAAGTGGGATCACAGGGTCAAATGGGAGTTCCATTTGTAGTTTTCTGAAGAAACTCCATACTGTCTTCCATAGTGGCTGCACCAGTCTGCATTCTCACCAGCAGCGCAGAAGGGTTCCTTTTTCTCCACATCCTCTCCAGCACTTGTCGTTTGTTGATTTGTTGATGATAGCCAGTCTGACAGGTGTGAGATGGTACCTCATTGTTGTTTTGATTTGCATCTCTCGGATGATTAGTGACTTTGAGCATGTTTTCATATGTCTCTTGGTTTTCTGAATGTCCTCTTTTGAAAGGTGTCTATTTAGATCCTTTGCCCATTTTTTGATTGGATTGTTTATCTTCCTTTTGTTAAGTTGTATGAGTTCCCTATAAATTTTGGAGATTAGGCCCTTATCAGATATGACATTGGCAAATATGTTTTCCCACACAGTGGGTTTTCTTGTTGTTTTGTTGATGGTTTCTTTTGCTGTGCAGAAGCTTTTTATTTTGATGTAGTCCCATTTGTTTATTTTCTCTTTAGTTTCCAATGCCCTAGGAGCTGTATCGGTGAAGAAGTTGCTTCGGCATATGTCTGAGGTTTTTTTGCCTTTGGATTTTTCTAGTATTTGTATGGTTTCCCGTCGTATATTTAAGTCCTTTATCCATTTTGAGTTTATTTTTGTGTATGGTGTAAGTTGGTGGTCTAGTTTCATTTTCTTGCATGTATCTGTCCAATTTTCCCAACACCATTTATTGAAGAGACTATCTTGACTCCATTGTATGTTCTTGCCTCCTTTGTCAAATATTAATTGAGCGTATTGGTTGGGGCTGATTTCTGGGCTCTCTATTCTATTCCATTGATCTATATATCTGTTCTTGTGCCAGTACCAGGCAGTTTTGAGAACAGTGGCTTTGTAATACAGCTTGATATCTGGTATTGAGATCCCACCTACTTTGTTCTTTCTCAGGATCGCTGCAGCTATTCGGGGTCGTTTTTTATTCCAGATGAATTTTTGGAGAGTACGTTCTAGGTCTGTGAAATATACCACTGGTATTTTAATGGGAAGTGCATTGAATTTATAGATTGCTTTGGGCAGTATGGACATTTTAATGATGTTGATTCTACCAATCCAAGAACATGGTATGTTCTTCCATCTCTTTATGTCTTCCTCTATCTCTTTTTTCCGGTCTTTTTTTTCAATAGTTTTATTCATTTCAAACGGGCCGGATTCGGCCCGCGGGCCGTAGTTTGCCCACGGCTGCCTTAGGCTATTTTTCTATGTCAGTCAGTTTACAGATCTATTATTAATGACAACACAATAGATGGATGTACCTGAGTTATATTAACCTGCCCCTCTACTAATGTATACGTAGAATTATTTCTGTTTTTTGCTTTTACAAAGTGCTCCCCAGTGAATGTCCTTGTTTAGGTCCCTTTGTCATATGTAGAATGAATTCCTAGTTGGGTCAAAGGGTATGAGCATTTAATTTTTTTTCTTTTTCTTTTTCTTTAACAAAACCCACTGTAAATATAAAGACACATATAGATTAAAAGTAAATGAATTAAGCTGCAGCCTGTTTTGCTCAGTGGATAGAGTATTAGCCTGTGGACTGAAGATGAGCATTTAATTTTTGACTGATATTAATAAACTACTTGCCAAAAGAGCTATGCCAGCTTATAGTCCTCCTTTTTAAAGATTGAGATATAAGTGACATAGAACATATTTATTAGTTCTAATAATGTATGAATATTAGTGTGTTTGACATATCTTTGCCATCAACGTATTTTCTCACTATTTTAAATTTTTAGTAATTTCATAGTTGAAAAATAAAACCAGAGGGTTTGCTGTGCAGTTTGAGGGCCAATGAGGTTGTTTGAACTGTTTTCTTATATTTATTGGCCTTTGTAGTTCCTCTGAGCCTTGCTTATTCATTTCCCAGTTGTCTCCTTGTCAGTGTGGTTCTAAGTCTGGAGCTAGGTGGGTATGGCTCTAGCATCTCTGACTCTGGGCTCCTTCGCCTGCAGGTGGACGAAACTCAGTTTAAGAAGATCCTTGGCTACATCAACTCTGGGAAGAAGGAGGGGGCGAAGCTGCTGTGTGGTGGAGGGGCGGCTGCTGACCGCGGCTACTTCATCCAGCCCACTGTGTTCGGAGATGTGCAGGATGGCATGACCATCGCAAAGGAGGAGGTTAGCACGGGGCCAGAGCTCTGGGGAATGTTCTTGGAAGTGGATAATTCAGTCTAACGTCTTGACACTGTGACCCAACAGCTGGCTTTGGCCAAATCCTGGCTCTGTTCCTAGGACAGGTTCTTTACAATTCACATCCGATCTCGTCACTCTCCTCTCAGGGCCACTGATGACGTTTCGACCATGTACAGTTTCCCCAGTGCTTTCCCCTGAGAGGGCTGAGCGCAGCCACACCCGACAGCAGCAAGCACACTTAGCTCCCGCATCTTGGTTTCTAAATCCCATTCTTCACACAAAGGAACCAGGATTCCTTGAAGAAATGGCTAATTCCAGGGAAAGTACAAGATAAACCTGGAAAGTCCTGAGAGCAGAGACTGTATTTTGTTCAGTTGTTTCTTCAGCATCTAGTGTGTGCCTTGCTGAATGATTGACTTAAATTTTAGACATTAAGTCTATGTGTAACATGCCAGTAATGCAAACATTGCAGAATTGTTTAGAAATAGTGTACATAAGTCAAGCATGTGGTACATGGAAGGTAACTGACCCCATTAACTTCCTTTTGGGTTTCAGTCAGTTTGGGAGCTGTTATCTCTGGGATTATTAGGGTGCCCCTGGGGACTCCGTGAAAGCTGGATAGCAGGTGGTTCCATGTCTGCCACGCCCTCCCACTCTGCTCTCTCACCATAGATCTTTGGGCCAGTGATGCAGATCCTAAAGTTTAAGACCATAGAGGAAGTCGTTGGGAGAGCAAACAATTCCATGTATGGGCTGGCCGCAGCTGTCTTCACAAAGGACTTGGACAAAGCCAATTATCTGTCCCAAGCGCTCCAGGCTGGCACTGTGTGGTAAGAGCCTCCCAGCAGCCCCTCACACCCAGACAGGGGTCCCCAAAGCCAGGGTCTTCCAGAATCCAGTGCTTACATCCCAGAATTTGGGGTACTGGGCTTAGCTGCTCTGGGCTTAGGGAGTGTGTGGTACAGCAGACAGATGGAGCTTCCCTGCCCCTCTCCAGGAGACTCAGTTTCCCT